TTTTTTTTTTTTTGTAGTGATTGGAACTCACTATATTGTCTAGGCTGGTCCCGAGCTCCAGGCTTCAAGTGATCCTCCTCCTGTCTCGACCTCCAAAAGTGTTGAGATTACAGGTGTGAGCCACCATGCCCAGCTAATTAATAATAATTACCAACATAATAGAAAGTAATTCAGTAGGAAATATTACAACTATTCCATGTCAAAAATTAAATAGTCCTGGCAGTTGGTAATCTTTACCGTAATTTTAGATCTAACCACTCAGTGCTTTAATCCCTCCCTCCCACCATTTATAAAGCAAGATTCTAAAGTTCATTTAAGAAAATCCACCTATTCAACTACTTCCCACTAGTTAAGCTATTCTCTACTGCTCCATAAATATGTTATGGTCACCCCCACATTCAAGTCTTTGCTCATGTTTTTCTTTCTATCTGAGATTCTCTTCCTCTGCCTTTCAGCTACTGCAAATATAACTCATCCATCAAAAATTGGCTCGGATATTGCTTCCTACACCAAGCTCTCTTTTACCATCACTTCTCAATGATTGTTATGTTTTCTAACTTCACTTTTTTCTAAACTGGAACTATGTCATGCAAGACTTGATTATATGCTGTCTTTTATTGTCTAATTTGAAATTTTGTCTTGTCTCAACAATTTCATTAGATTGTAAATTCTTTGAAGGTAGGAACAGTGTCTCATGTGCTCTTGCAGCATCCACCCTGCCTAGTATAGTTTTCTATATACTGTCTCCTTTGGCCATCTTACCTCATCCTGTAGTTTCAATCATCACCTCCCTTTGGGATAACATCTAAATTTGCCTTTTCAATTCTGATTTCTGGACCCCATGTTCCATCACTCTTACCTTCACTATGTTTCAACCACATTGGTTTTCTACCTATTCTGTGAACACATAAGCATTTCCCCACCTTGGGATTTTTCCCAAAATTCTCTTTCCCCAGATATTTACAAAGATCGGTCAGACTTCAGCTCAAATGTCCCCTCCTCGGAGAGGCCTTCCCTGACCCTCTTCTTATATAGTCCCCTTGTCCTCAGTCACTCTCCCCTATTATCCTCTTTTGTTATCTTCATAGCACATATTACTGTCTGAAATGATCTTATATACTTGTTTACTTTGGTATTGTTTGCTCTCCTCACTAGACTGTAAAGTTCACGAGAGGACTACAATCCCAGTACCTACAATAGTGTCCCGGCCCATGGTAGGTATTCACAAAATAAATGTTTGATGGATTCGTTGGAAGACTGTATAATGGAAAAAATTACTAGCTAATATTTGTAAGTATTTGTTATTTGTTTCATGAAATTCCACGCCAGTCTTTGATTTCCGTTGAGGTAGCAGCAGTATATGCAGCTGCTGAAATGGGTTCATGAATCTCCCAAAGCATAAATCTCACCAAACCTCAAAGAACTTGTATAAACAAACCCTCAGAGCATGTGTAGTTCTAAATCCAAATATTGGGCACCCAATTAAACGTGATGCATTGAGTACATGTGTTTATCTTTATTCCCCTCCTGAAACGCCCCTAAAATGAGAATAAAAGAATTTTTAAAAGGTACAAAACCATGAAGGCAAAGAAAATGGGAGGGAGACAATACCAAAACTGAGACCTCAAAAACTTTTGGAAGATGGAAAGCAGATTGAGGAGCCAGGAGAGTTGAGAAATGTGAAGACCAAGTGCCTACTTGGGAATGTCAGTGAAAGAAGAAGCCAATTTGTGCAGCAGAACCCCAGAAAGTTTTGGGATCTGAAGATAAGAGGTTGCTAACAATGGATAGTGGGGAGAGGCACAGAGCTTAAGATAGAGAAATTGGTTACAATTTGGAAAATGAGGTTGTAGATCTCCACACCAGGTCACCGCTCCTCTTCTAAACAGTTAGAGAATGTCCCAGGATAAAAGCTGAGTTGCAGGCTAACCCAGCAGCTACTCCACATTGGAGCAGGAGAAAGGAGGCCTTCCAAAGGGATTTTTTCTAGGGAAAACCAAATGGGTCTGATGGGTCACCTGAGACTTAACTGCATGGAAGAGAATATTTAGGAGAAGTTACACAAATTTATTGGAGAATTGAGACAAATCTGTGATAGAATAACAAAACTA